AGGATGGGAACTACATCAGCTCTTTTCCAGTCCTCTGGTAGTTCCCCTGTGCTCCAGGATCTTTGAAAAATATAGTTCAGTGGTTCAGAGATCACATTTGCTAGTTCCTTGAGAACCTTGGGGTGTAATCCATCTGGTCCTGGCGATTTGAACTCATCTAGGCTGGACAGGTGCTCACTTACTATTTTCTTGCCTATCTCAAGTGAGGAACTGTGTTCCCAAGATTGGTCCACTGGGGACTTGAAAAACACTGCAGACCCACCAGACGAGGGGTGGGGTTCTGAGGGTTCAGGTAGCCTAGAAGTAGGCAGATCACACAGGAATGCGAGGGAGCAAAGCCCTGGTCTGTATAGCCCGGTGGGCAAGCGAGCAGACCAGGCGACAGGAGCCAGGTCACCAGGACCACCAGGGCAACAAAGAGGGGGAAGCCCCACTACATCAAGTGCACAGGGAAGCCCAGGGTGTTCCCAGGGCCCGAGGAGGTCGCAAAGAAGCAAATGACCTCCACAGTATTTGGAGGAGTTTGTAAGGTTGTTGTCAACCTACAAGTAATGTGGGTGTCGGCCCGTTATTCCAAAAACGATAGCACGGTACCATTAAAGGTGCTATCAGGCAATAGCTCCACAGTCCATACACCTATGGATGAATGAAGTACCACATTCCCTCTAGAAGGTCGCAGTTATATACATGTATATATATATGTATGTATGTTTGGGGCAGTGTCATCCGGGGGTGAAGGGGTGTTGTGTCCTGAGCCTGCAGTAGCAGGCTCGGGACGTTGTCATGGTAACGGGCTGTTGCAAAGCTGCCCGGGACCAGACAAAGCGGCGCCAGCCTGCGCGAGGCGCAAAGCGCGCCATTTTCTTGTATCCTTTTTACCCGGGGATTCTGGCTATTAAAAAGAAAGAGAGAGGCCTGCGAGTCTCTGAGTTGTGACGGAGTAATCCGGAGGAGAATAAAGAACTTGTTGCTGACAGTATGTGTGCCATTCTTTCGCCGCTAAGACGAGGACTTAACAGAAACCATCATTTTTCCATTAAAAAAAAAGCAGATTGTCAAAGAGGTCTAAAGTGGTAAGGCAAAGGACATACATGAGGGAAGAAAAAAAAATTCTCCACTATTCATATTCTTTCTTCCTGTTAATGAAGAAACTTGCAACTTTAGATATCTTCCAAACAGAAACAAGTTAGACAAAAAGTCTTACACATTCATTTAGCAGGTAGAGTTTGCTCCCAGAATGGAGCAGACCTTGTTGCACCTGTTTTACCATCTCTCTAATTTAGCATTACTATTATAGTTGAATGTACTGTGATGGAACCTCAGGCCTCCCAAATCTTTCTGTTCAATGACAGGTTAAAAGATCCTTTGTTTTCTTCAAATGAGCAGTCAGATTCATACCTACACAGTTATCATATAAAATCACTCATTCCAGTTCTTTCTCTTTCCTCACTGAATAAATGTGCAAATATTTTGCTTGTGTAAGTAACATTTATATATAAATATACATACATACACACACGTGCACACACATACACACATTTCATTTTACTCCACCAACTGCCCAAATAATTTGATGAGGATGCTCAGAAGATGTTCTTCACAGCTACCTAGAAAGGTATAAATATTAGATGCTGACTGAAATAACAAAACTCACCATCTTCATCAGTCTGAAATATCATCTCTTTGCCTTCTTTCCGGCCTTCAGGATTAAACAGGATAAGCTTAACATGGACATTTTTATAAGGCAGAAGATTCTTGATGGTGTAACAGTTGATACCATGCTCCATCTTCACACATTCACGAAAGGTCTGGTTATGGCCAGTGCCTACAGCATAGCGATAGCAGAGTGTGACAGTATATGTGTGACAGCGTGTCAGGTTGTAACCCAGAGGCTCCCATTGAAGGATCAGCTGCCTGGATTGGATCTCTGCAAAGGCAAGGCCTTTGGGGGCCCTCATGGGTTCTGCAGAAAGAGATGGAGAGAGAATGAAAAACAGCAGAATCAGTATCTGTCAGGACACTGGGAAAGGGCAATACTTTGTCGACTTCTGGTGGAGAAGAATATTGAATGAAAAGATGTTACAACCTCTGGTGTAGCAGAACTTTAGATTTAGAATCAGCTGGAGGAAAATATAATAAATATGAGGGAATGGTGTGAGTCTGTTTACTGGTAGTCCTCAACTTACAACAATTCATTTAGGGACCATTTGAAGTTACAATGGCACTGAAAAAAGTAACTTATGACTGTTTTTCACACTTACAAACGCTGCATTATCCTCACGGTCATGTGATCCAAATTCAGATGCTTGGCAACTAGCTCATAATTTATGATGGTTGCAGTGTCCTGAGATCATGTGACCGACCGTTCTAACTGTCAGGAAATTTCTTCTAGAATGAAGGAGAAATTTCCTGATGGTTAGAACAATTAATTTGTTATTCCTGCTATAGAATCTCCAACACTGACCTGATAACTCCCCATTATCTAATGCAGGGGTCCCCAACCCCCGGTCCATGGACCAGTACCAGGCTACAGCATGCCAGCAACCGGTCCGCACAAACAAGCAAAGCCCCATCTGTGGGATGCAGGCAACACACAAAACCACGCACCCTCCAGTCCATGGAAAAACCTCTCCATGGAACCAGTCCCTGGTGCCCAAAAGTTTGGGGACCTCTGAACTAATGGACCTGGTAGAAAACAGCTTTACGTGAGTCATGCTATTGTACCAATATCCTGAGAAGACAAGGAAAATCCCAGAATTGTTATGTATCACAATTGCATTGTGTGAAAACCAGTGGTGGGATTCAAATATGTGAACAACTGGTTCTCTGTGTGGATGCTGCTTCCAGAAGTCCGTTCTGGGCCTGGGCAACAAAAAATTAGCTACCGGTTCTGCCGAACTGGTGCAAACTAGCTGAATCCCACCACTGGTGAGAACCTATTAAAACCAATTCCATGCCCATGTTTATTTACGCATAATATTCCTCTTCTTTTTGAATGTTTTAATCTTATTCTTTTTTTAAATAAATGATTTCCCTGTATAATCTGATCCCCAATCATAATAAATAAAACAACAGAAACCAGGTAGCCTGACAATGACAGAAAAACAGTCATTAATCTTATACAGTATGGCAAGACCACTGCTGAAGAACAGAGGTGGAACTCTGACACCAGAGCAGAACATCCTGCACGCAGGAAGCTCCTTAAGAAGCAAAAAAATTCCCTCTGGTTTTAAAAAGCATCCTGTTATAAAACAGAGGTGAACATCCTATGACTCGAAAGTTTATGTTTATCCAGCTCTCAAATTAATTTTAAAGCTCTTTACAGCAAACAAGCAATTTAGGCTTCCAGCAAAAGCAATATATTCTTTTCTTGGCACATTGTATGTAAGGAGGGAAGGGGGAATGCCAGAGAAATATAAATGCTCCAAAGTAAGAAAGGGCGCCTCATCCTTTGTTGCCATTGGTTGCACCCATCCTTATAATGAGATCTTTCCTCAAAGGATGGTCCTATGGAAATTCAGAGCTTGATGGATGAATTGTCCTCTCAACAGACAATTCAATGGCAAAGACACCTTTACAATATATAGAAGCAACATGTGTTACCCATCATCAAAGGAACCCTCGTAGGTTCTGCAGAGAGGGTTGGAGACAGAATGAAAAACAACAAAATCAGTAATTGGTTTGGGGGGGAAACATGCTTGTGGGAAAAACTGCATTCTATCTCAATGCTCAGCTCTATAAGATAGTTTTCAACTTACAACCATTAGTTTAGCACCGTTCAAAGCTATCTGCAATCTTCCCAGCTGGCTTCTGACAAGGAAAGTTGAAGGAGAAAGCCAGATTCATTTATGATCAACTGCAGTGATTAAACATAATTTAAGAGTGATAATGGACGTATTAGAATACTATGAATTACATCCAGGGAAACAACTGGCACTAATATTTCTAGATGCCCAAAAGGCATTTGATAATGTTCCCTGGCAATTTATGATTCAGCAATTACAAATAATGGACTTTGGACAGAATTTTACAAACATGATAAAAACAATATACAATAAACAAACAGCGAAAGTGATTGTGAATGGAGACTTTACTGAGAACTTTGAGATAAGAAAAGGTACAAGGCAAGGATGCCCATTATCTCCACTGTTATTTGTTTTTACTCTGGAAGTTTTAAATAGAAATATTAGACAAGATATAGAAATTAAAGGGCTAGAAATAAAAGGCAAAACATATAAACTACAAGCATTTGCTGATGATTTGGTATTTATTTTAGAAGAACCCTTGGAGATGATTCCTAAACTATTGGGAAAGATAGAACAATATGGAGAAATGGCATGACTGAAAATAAACAGAGGAAAAAACCAAAGTAATAGTTAAAAACCTTACAAATAAACAAAAAAACAAATGTCAGAAAAAACAGCATTGCAGATAGTTAAAAAGGTCAAATATCTGGGAATACATTTAACAGTAAGATGTTCAACGATAAAAGAAGATAATTACACAAAACTATTGAATCAAATAAAAATGGATCTGGAAAAATGGAAAAACTTGCAATTGTCAATACTAGGAAGAATTGCTACAGTGAAAATGAACATACTACCAAAATTTTATTCTTATTTCAAACAATACCTGTAAAACATGAGAAAAATTTTTTTGAAGACTTAAATTCCCTAATTTTGAAAAGCTTAGCATATTACGTGGATGCATCTGCTAGGTTCATAATTCACCTGGAGAAGAGTAAACAATTTAGTTATGAATATTAGGTGAACAAACCATTGTATGTAAAGATCAATTCCCTAAACATAAGAAGAGTCCAATAAGAAAACTTCCTCACATTAAATAAACTAAGATCAACTCTTTGGTTGTTAAACCACATTATGTTTAATGAACTTGGGCCACAGCAAAGCTAAGGGACCCAAGATAAGATAAACTCCCCTTCAACATTGCTATCCAATAATTTTGGAACATCTTCAATCATTTGTGCATCTCTTTCACCAAATGTTGTACAAAAATAACTTTTCATATGACTGGAGAAAGAAAAATGGCATAGCAGAGCACCATACCTGTAACTCAAAAGACTCCAAGTAATGGCTTTGGAAGCAATTTCAAGTACTGGGTCATCTGAACTGTTCCTGTTGATTCTATGCATAGGAAATAGACCTGAACTATATTATACTGTCCAGTTTTGAATCTGCAGCAGCCTTCATAGATATACGAGATATTTTACATATCTCTAAAATAAACTTATCAACCTATTCATAAGTAGGTGAAGCAAATGCACACTGAACAGCAATTTCAAGCACTGTAGGAACAGAGAGCAAAAGCTGATGGTGCTGCAAAATTCAGGTTTTAAAGCAATGACAAGCTCCCTTCCCTTGTGCCTCTCCAGGTGTTTCTGCCTTGTTAGATTTATGGATTTTTTCCCCCATCATCATCATCACACACACAAAAAAAGACAGCTTTAGATGAAGAAAAAGCAAGACCTAAGCAAAATGCAGACATTGCTTTTCATCTCCAAGGGTTCTACATCTCTAGAAATGTACTCATTCCAATTGATCTAATCATTTTGCCTTTTTCCTTCTCTGCTCCTCTAATGATAAAAATCTGTCACTTTTATGAGAGTTGTTTTTCTGCTGTTGTTCTTCTTAAAGCATTTTAGTTGTCCATGTAGAGTCTAAACTGTGGCAGAACTCTAAGCGGGGATACATTTCAGTAAAATTGCCATCTCTATTGTAACTTTTGTTGTTAAAAGGAGAACTTGTGTCGTGCTGGATTTAATTTCCACATTCGAAGACTGCCTTGCAGAAACTACTTCCCTGAATGTGCTATGAATGTGATTCAAGCATATAGTTTCTCATCTTTGTGAGACCTATTTAAAAACAATAGGTTTATTCATGTAGGTATTTCATACTATGCTCCTTGAGGATGCATACATGCACACTCAAATCTAATAAAACACTCAAATCTTAAAGTCATGGCAACAACAAGGAAAACAAAAGAGCAAGCAAACTAAATTTAAAAATTAAGAAAAAGAAATATAAAAGTCAACTAAGATACGGGTAGTATAATGTGATATGCTTGTTTTTTTTTAAAAAAAACCTTTTGTTGTTTCTCTCCTCTCGCTTGGTTTATTTAAAAAAATATGTACACACAATTCCCATTTAAACCATTTCAAAGAGGCTTATTTGCTATTCAAACTCCCACTCTCACGGGAGCAAAATTTTCTTGTGAATGTCCCAAAGGGGCTTTTTCAAGAGGCAACTGGACTTTCTTCTTTTTCTTTAAAGACGTTTCACTTCTCGTCCAAGAAGCTTCTTCAGCTCAGTTACAGAGCTGAAGAAGCTTCCTGGAGAGTAGCGAAATGTCTTCAAAGAAAAAACGAGGAAGTCCAGTTGCCTCTTGAAAAAGCATCTTTGGGACAACCTGGATGACTGAGAATCTCCATAAACATTTATTGTGAACTGTCAGCAAGAACAATGTGATGATTTCAAACTGGAATAAAAAGCAAATTTGGAAACTGGATGATAATCATCCAGTACAGTTTGATCCTAAAATGTTTAAGAGTGATAAAGTTTCCACTGGTTGCACTGAAAAGGCATCATACTTGATGCAGCATCAATTAGGCAAGTAAATTAAATCCAATATGGACTTCTTTGTGATCAAATTTCTGAAATCCACTGAAAGATGCACCAGCATAGCCCAGATGCCAGCACTGAATAAACTCTGCAAACATCCAACCTTCTTCAGCTAAAAATGTGCTCCCTTCCAAAAAGAGTATTTCTATTGAAAATAAATTATGCTTTTGAAAAAAAAACCAAAAAGAGCAATTTCAAAAGAAGATCAAATATTGGAGAGATTTACATTTTTAAAACAATGCTCTGCAGAAATTCATATTTTAAAAAACTTCAGGGAAAAGTGCATTTATGTAAAGAAATACCTTAAAAACAACTATATGCAATA